CGCGGTCCCTGTGCTTTGCTAAGCTTGTTCTAAGTGGGTGCTTTAGACCACTGAGCCATCTTACCAGCCCCAGAATCTCCATATTGGCTTCCATAATGGTTGTATTTATTTACATTCCTGCTAACAATGCAGAAGGACTCCTTTCTCCCCCACAGTTCCTTCAGCATTTGTAATTGGTTGATTGCTTGATGGTAGCAATCTTTCTGGAGTACAATTGAATCTTAGTGTTGTTTTAATTTCCATTTCTCTAATTGTCAGAGATGTTGAACATTATTCTTCTTTCTTTCTTTCTTTCTTTCTTTCTTTCTTTCTTTCTTTCTTTCTTTCTTTCTTTTGGCTGAACTGGGGATTGAACTCAAGCCCTTGTGCTTGCCAGGCAAGTGCGTATTCTACTGAGCCATCTCCCCAGGCTCAATTTCATGTTATTTTTCATCCATTCATTTGTATTACTTCTTCTGAGAAGTGGCTGTTCATTTCAGTTTCCCATTTTTTAAAAATTGTGTCTAGGGGGCTCTAATTTTTAAAATTATTTTTATATTCTAGATATTATCCTCTGTCTAGGGAATAAAAGGCAGTTTCTTTTTTCTCATTCTGTAGGTTCTCCCTTCATTTTGTGCTTGTTTCCTTTTCTGTGTGGGAGATTTTTAGTTTGATGTGATCTCATTTGTTAATTTTTGATGTTACATCTTATGAAATTGAGAGTTTGTTCAATAAGTCTTCCCTGTGTATATAACTTCAAGCTTTATCTTCCAGCACATTGTTTCTATTGTTTAATATTCAGACATGATCCTTTTTTATTTTATTAAACCTTTATTTGTTACTCACTTCGTACAGGGTCTCACTGTGCAGCTCAGACTCACAGTGATCCTCCTGTCCTAACCTCCGCAGCACTGGGATTACAGACATGTGCCTCCACACATGCAGTACTGGGGATCAAACACAAGGCCTTGAGCTTGCCAGGCAGGTGCTTGAGACTGCAAAGCTATCTCCCCAGCCCCCATTTTGATTTTAGTTTAGTACATGGTAAAATATATTAGTCTAGAGTCAATCTTTTGCACATGACTAGCTATTTTTCACAGCACCATTTATCAAAAGGGCTGTCATATCTCTGCCATAAGCTTTTGGCCTTTTTGTCAAAGATCACTTAGCTAATTGTGCTTTGAAGTTGTTTCAGCAACCTCTGTTCTGTCCACATGTTTGTTTTTTGCCAGTATCACATCACTTTTAATGACAGTTGTTTTGAAATATAGCTTGAAGTCTAGGATTGGGTGCCTCCTGCTTTGTTATTGTTACCCAGAATTACTTATTACCTATGAAATATAGGATTTTTTTCCAGTTCTGTGAAGGATG